GGGGGGGGGGGGGGGGGGTCGAGGTAGTGTGCAGCCAGACATGGAGCAGGGAGGTGGGGATGGAACGCTGCCACCTCCCAGGAGCAGGGCCAGGGTGGGGTGCGGCAGCTCACCAGGCTGGTATGAGGGCAGTGGGGAAGCTCATTGGGCTGGTGGGTGGTGACGGCTGCCACCACATGCAAGCTTTCCCACCCTGCAGAGGGGTGCCTCTGCCCTTGCCTCACCCCAGCCTTGCTTCTGGGAGGTGGCGGCACTCTGTCCCTGCCTGCCCACACGTACCCCCTAGGACTGGTCCAAGAACCCCAGGGGTATGCATACTCCCAGTTGACAACCCTTGCTGTATATGATTACAGCATCCTCCAGATCATAAAGTTGTGGACTGTCTGATGGAGGGTATGCTCTTAAAAACATCTGCCATTACTAAAGCTAAGGACAGACATTCAAAACGCCTGAGGCTGAATTGATTCAATCTTTGCAGGTTAGTCTAACCTATCTAGGTTGAACCAGTTTACAACTACACAGACATTGCCTTTGGACAGCCCACCCTGCCCTTCTACAGTGCTGAGCTGAGGGGGAGCATGACCTGGCCCTGGCAGGATGCTCTGATTAGGGAGGTCTGCCTGCACCCTCCCAGACTTTTCCTCGCTCACTACTCAAAGGGGAGGAGTGTTGCCAAGCCTTAGCCCAACTAGCACTCTGAGGCAAAGTGGGGGGTGTGCAGTGCATGCATCTGTTGATAATACTGAGCTTTTCAATCTCCCTCTCCCTGCGTCTTCATACTGTCTGAAAACCTGACTGGGCTGCAAACCAGCAGGGAGCTGATGAAACCGGCAGTGTTTATCAGCCCATCAACAAAACAGTAGCCTCTCTCATTAGTTCAAGCTCTTCTTAAACAGCCTTTTCCAAGGAAGGGATGGAGGGACATTACCAGCTGACCTGTTGATTAGCTCCAAAAATCCCTAAGCAAACACTGTTCTGTCTGCCTGTCCCAGTGAAATGGGAGACAAACATACACAGACACCTCTCAGCATTGGCTAGCATACCACATACTTGGGGTCTGTGGGGCTGGGGTCTGTGCTGTGGGAGATGAGAGGGAGGGAGGAATCCCTGCTTGAGCAGTGAAGGAAACCAGGCAGACTCTGCTCTGCCTGCAGTTTTCCCCAGAGCTCTGGCTAGGGAGGAGAGGAGTGGGGCCAGGCTGTTTTCTGGAGAAGAGAGCCCTGCCCAGGGTTACAAAGCATCTGGCATGCTGGGGGACTCTTGTTTAACTTAAACCAGGAAGGGGTCTGGGACGGACTTTGCATAAACCAATTTGGCCCAAATGAGTTAAGTCTGATACTACATTCAACCAAGTTTATCTTAAACCAGTTTCAGCCATTTTGAAACTGGTTTATTTGCACTGAACTTATGTTTTGTTACAGGTTTAAACCAGTTTCTGATAATTGAAACTGACTTGTGTAATGTCTGTCCCTAGCCTAAGTAGTTTCCTGGTTGGAACTCCAGGGTCATACCATTCTTCTGCAATTTCATAAGTAGTACATACATCCGCAAGTCCTTTTTTTGAATATTATAAACAGTGGTTTGTGATCTGTTTCTGCAGTGAATCCATACAGTAAGTCATGGAAGCTTGTACATTCAGAAGCTAGGCCAAGGATCTTTTTTTTTTTTTAATTGTGCATATAATCTTTCTGCAGCTGTTATAGCCCTAGATTTATATGAGACTGGCAACCAGTCAGTTCCCTAATGCTGTGATAATTGTTCCCAATCCATGTTTTGAAACATCTGTGGAGAGTTTGATGTCTTTTAATGGGTCAAAGAATTGTAGCACCGGAGTTGATGTCACTGTGTTTTGATCATTAAAATAACTTTCATGCTCTGGCATCCAGGCCCATTCTGTGCCCTTGTGGAAAAGATGCCTTAAGGGAGTCTTGAAAGCTGTGTTCTTAGGAATAAACTTATTGACATAACTCAACATTCCTAGCAATCTTCGAATTCCATTTTTATCTTCTGGTTTTGGCACATTCAGTATTGCCTGAACTTTTTGAGTTGTCAGGTAAGTATTGGTTGAACAACTGACCCTGCTTGCCCAAATATGTTATTTCTATTGAACTAGATACTTTTTGCTTTTTCCTTATTCAGTTAGCGGTTTTTAGCTCTTGTAATAGCTAGTACTTTTCTCAGTCATTGTTGATATTCAATGACACTATTGCCGTATATTATTATATCATCAATATAGACCTTCATGCTCACTAGACCCTTTAGCATCTGGCTCATAATGCCATGAAATACTTCTAGAACTAAGCATATTCCAAAAAGTAGCTTTAAGAAGTAGTATCTTCCAAAGTTTCCAAAGTGCAGGACTTGGAGCTGTCAGCGTCCAAGGGAATCTGCCAGAATCATGCTGACGTATCTGATTGCCTGAAGAATTTGGCTCTTGTGATCTCTGATCTCACTTCATGTGGGTAAGAGAAGGCATTCTCTTTTTATGTTTTTGTTCAAATGCTTTGGGTCTATAAACAGCTGTAGAACTCCACCCTTCTTTACAACTACTAGGGAATGGACCCTGCCAGTTGGTTCTTCTATTCTCCTAATGATACCATTTAGTGCCATGTTTTGTAGTTCTGTTTTTAGTGGTTTTCATAAGGCATATGGGACTT